CTCCTTTCCTACTTCGCAGTGAGGCTCTGGACCCCCCCCCCTCCCCCCCGCGGGTGCGAGTTGTATGGATTTTTTTGCGAAATTTATGGATTTTTGTGGCTCTTTATACAGGTAAATGTCCAAAGAGGTTGACATGTATGCTAATTTATTTTATCCCTGCTGCAGCAGAGTGGAGGGAAATACATGTCAGGTTGTACAGATTGTTCATAAATAAGGATTTTCCCGCCTTTTACATGGATACAAACATTTACTGCAGGGCACTCCTGTGGATTGTTTTCAAAAGCTTTGCTTCAGATTTATTTAAGTCTCAGAAGTATCAGGCTGACAGGAAATAATTTCACTACCTCCTCATCCTCTCCTCCCTGTTTCTCTGCTGCACATCTTACTGGATTGGGCATCACGTGACCTGAGCTAATGCTAATGCTAACCAATGAAATCAATGCACAGAACACAGAGCAGTGCAAACAAACATGTAATAAATGTTCAAATGGCACAAATACTTTGCTATAAACTGCAGAGATTATAACAAGTTTATAAAAGCAAAATTATGTTTCACAGGTAAGAATTTTTCATATTTACCAAAAATAATGATTTTAACTGTAAAACCTGTGCTAACATTTAAAAAGCTTCAATGTTCACATTTAACCTTTTTTAGAATCGATCATCTCTTGTCTAATATAATATTTACTGATATTAAAATATAGAGAACTGACCAGTTAGACTGCATCTTATTTCATAAATGATTCTGTAGACTCACTAATAACAGGGACAGTAATGCAGTGACTGACATACACTGTTCACATAATAATGAAAAATAAAACAGCTTTTATCAAGTTGTCACACAGGCCAGTTTATCCAGATGTTATGATTTCTACATCCAGTGTTTGTGTTTTTCAGTTTCCAGACAAAAAGAAGCTGTGGCGTCAGATAAAGCCCTCATCAATATGAAGCTGAAGAGGAATTCTTTGTGTTGAAATAAATTCATTAAATGATTCTTTGTGACCTGAAATTATTTGTACTGATCTATTGTCTAATTTACAGAAAAACRTTGCGAAGCTGTAGTTATTTCATTTTTAAGTTGACATAAAAATACATCAAACAGAATAAACATATATTGTACAGCTTTGTAATTTTTAGTTTTTTTTTACAGTAAAACAACATTCTATCTTAAACATGGATTGTTATAAATGTATATATTCAAATTAAGTATATACAGTATACTTCAAAGTTGAGTCATGTTCATTTTAAATATCTAAGTCTGATACTGTAAATAAATGCATGAATATCCAGCTGGTCAGCAAACAGACTGTATGCACAAACATGTAAAGCACAAAATGCCTATTTTAAGTCACAGAGTCATTAGTCATAGTCAAATTAGTTATTTATTTCCAGTTTCCACAAACCAGAACAGTTTCCTCAGCTTTAATTTGAAGCAAGAAATAAGAACTTTGTTAGAGTTTTCTACAGGACGACACCTTGCAATCCACTCTTCAATGCATAGCAGAGCTCCTGTGTGCCATAGATATGTCCAGGAGATACCTTACGGACTGGGGCTGCCTATTGGAGCGGATGTTTCAGTGCGGCCACCATCTTGGATGGGTACCACTCGCGCTCCCAGCACATTTATTTATACTGAGAAAGCTGTTCATCCAACTAAAATAATCACAACTCCATGATTTTTTCACACGATTTGGTTTGTTATAAACAGCAGAGATGTAGTTATGTTATTGGACACGGTCACACAATAAAAATAAAAGCTTTCATTCTGAAATACTTTAATTATTATCTTAAATTATCTCTTAAATTTTCTTTATTGTCCCTCAGTGGTTATATTCAGGTGCATCAGCAGAAATGTGACAGGAAATTCACAC